CGACGAGGACGACGACGACGACGACGACGTTGACGACGACGAGAACGAGCACATCGGCCACAACGACAACAACGACGATCACAGAAACGTTGTTCGCGACATAGGCGTCTACGAAGATGCGAACCGTGCCACAATCGGTGCTCGCCTCGATCGCGTTAACCACGATAACGGGGAAGAGAACGATAACGTGGACAATAACGGAGAGCGGAATAACGATGACAAAGTCGACGAGGACGAGGACGACGACGATGTCGTTGACGGTGGAGGGAATAACGAAAAGAACGTGGTCCTTGTCGTCACTGGTATAGCCGGCCCCGTTGACACAAGTAACGCGGCGGCAGTGGTCAATAAAATAAAGAACAAAAACAACAACAACCGCAGCAGCAATGTCAATAATAATAACAACAATAAGGGGAAAAGGGTGATTCGCGGTGGCAGAGGTGGCCCGAATCGTAATCGTGAGCGTATCACCGTCGAGATTACCAACAGAGGTTTGGAGAGTGACGAGAACGAGGAAGATGGTAACAGCAGCAATCGCGAGGGTAGAAACGATTATCGTACCAACAGACGACGCACAACCCTCTTTCGGCAGATGCTCGTTAGGGCGACGAGGCCACAACCGTTGAAGCCTATATTTAAACGAAAGGAATTGGAAGAAGCTGCTCTAGCGGTTTCTCAGTATTTGGCCTCGGAACTGAGACACTCGCCCATTCAAGGAGCCGTATCGGCAGCAGCAGCAGCAGCGATGACATCGGCGTCTGCATCGAGAGCGGCGGCAACAGGGGTAGGTGGTGGAACCGGAATGGTAGGTCCGTATTCCGAACCCGATTCCCCTGCGTCCGATTGCTCGCTGGTCTCGTTGACGTCCAGTCAGAAAAAGCATTGCAAGCACAGCGGTAGAAAGAGCCCTTCGATCGCGATGAGTCCGCTGGTCGCGCAACTCATGGATATGGGTTTTCCGAAAAGAAGCGTTGAGTTTGCGATTAAGAGCTTGAGCACCACCGTTGGGTTCATCACTGCGGAAAGCGTGGTCGCTTGGCTACTCGAGAATCCCGACGCGGCGTTGAGCGACAGTGAAACGTTGTCGAGCGCGTACGGCGGGTTATCGGAGCCCGAAGACTCGACCAGTGAGAACATCGAGGATTCACCGTCCACGCACGATCCTGTCGTCTCCTCGTCTTCGATTATAGCACCGCCCAACTACATGAAACGTCCCGATTTCCTCTCGTTGGACGAATACGCGATCTACGTGCGAGACAACCTGATACCGGGTATGCTGGTTCGTTGTTGCAAGAGCTACGAGGAGGTGGAGTACGGGGATGTTGGTCAAGTGATGAAAATCGATCCGGAAGGTTTGCACGATCTAAACGTTCAGGTTGCATGGCAGCGCAAGGGCTGCACCTATTGGGTCAGATTCATTCACATAGAGCTGTTGGGTCATCCGCCAGCGATACCAGGCCCGGCCGCGCTCAAGATCGGCGACAAGGTGAGAGTAAAGGCGTCGGTAACCGTGCCCAAGTACAAATGGGGATCGGTGACACATCAGAGCGTTGGAGTGGTAACGGGTATAATGAACAACGGAAAAGACGTGTCGGTAGATTTTCCGCAGCAGAGCGGCTGGACTGGTTGCGCGATTGAAATGGAACGGGTACCCTCCTGTCATCATTCGGTCTCGTGCAACTCTTGCCACCTATTGCCGATATCCGGGCCGAGATTCAAGTGCAAGTATTGCGAGTATTACAATCTCTGCGAGAATTGCTTCTATACGAAACGGTGTCATCGGCACGGATTCAATCGGATAGTGGAGCCAGGCTCGGCGGCGGTGTACGCCGGCAAGCCGGGACGATATCACAGGCAAGATTACACCGAATCCTCCTCGCTGATCGACGATTGGTCAAAGTGCATACGAACGTTGAGCGTGTCCTCGAGGGAGAGTTGGGCAACGCGACTGGTCGACGCGTTGGGACTCTATTGGCAGAGTTACGGCTCGCAGGGGAAACATTGGATTCGTCTGGAAATGTTGCCGGGCATACTGGTGCACTCGCTCAAGATCACCGTGAATCCGCAGGACGGCAGTTACATGCCGTCGTTGATAGCGGTGAGTGTTGGCGAGTCGTTCAACAGTTTAGTGGAATTGGCGACGGTGAGCGTACGGCGCACCGACACCAGCGTACTCCTCCTGCAGGACATCAAGGAGTATTACCCGTGCATCGAGATCGCGATTAAGCAGTGCCGGAACGGCGGGATCGATTGCAAGATACGCGGACTTCAGATAATTGGCAAAAGGAGGATGTTCGAGAATCAACTGGCCACGTCTGTTTCGTTCCTCGCCTCGGACTGGGAGATCGTGCAACAGCAGATGAGCCCGGCGCAGCGCGGTACCGAGCCGCCACCGCCGGCCCAGCACTCGGCCGTCTACGTCTGGGGATTGAACGACAAGGATCAACTAGGAGGTCTGAAAGGATCGAAGATCAAGTTGCCGGTCTACACGGAAGTTCTCTCGAGGCTGAAACCGATCCATATCGCCGGTGGCAGCAAAACTCTGTTCGTTGTAAGCCAGGACGGGAAGTTGTACGCCTGCGGGGAAGGGACAAACGGCAGGCTCGGCCTCGGGGACGACAGTAACGTGTGCGAGCCAAAGCCGATTCCGTTTCTCAGTCAGTACGTGATTAAAAAGGTGGCCGTGCACTCTGGTGGAAAGCACGCGTTGGCCCTGACGCAGGAAGGCAGGGTGTTCTCCTGGGGGGAGGGAGAGGAGGGCAGGCTGGGCCACGGGAATTGCGTGTCGTTGGACAAACCGAGGCTGATCGAGGCCCTCAAATCGAAGAGGATTCGGGACATCGCGTGCGGCTCAGATCATTCCGCCGCCATAACCAGTACCGGTGAATTGTACACGTGGGGCTTGGGCGAGTACGGACGATTGGGCCACGGCGACACCGCCACCCAGCTGAAGCCTAAGTTGGTCCAATCTCTGGTTGGTCAGCGAGTGATACAGGTCGCTTGCGGTAGCAGGGACGCGCAAACGATGGCCCTGACCGCTGACGGTTCGGTTTACTCCTGGGGCGACGGAGACTTTGGGAAACTCGGCCGAGGTGGCAGCGACGGCTGTTACACGCCGCTCTTGGTCGACCGACTGAACGGTTTAGGTGTCGTGCAGATCGAATGCGGGGCTCAGTTCTCCCTTGCGTTGACCAAATACGGGGAGGTGTGGACCTGGGGCAAAGGCGATTATTTTCGGCTTGGTAACGGCAACGATCATCACGTTCGAAAGCCAACGCTGGTCGAGGGACTTCGTGGGAAAAAGGTGATTCACGTGGCTGTCGGTGCGCTGCACTGCTTGGCGGTAACCGACACCGGTCACGTATACGCCTGGGGTGACAACGATCACGGTCAACAGGGAAACGGCTCGACGGTCGTGAACAAGAAGCCGTCGTTGGTACACGAGCTCGACGACGCCAGAGTGAATCGAGTGTCCTGCGGCTCTAGTCATAGTATCGCCTGGGTATTGACCGATCAACCGGCCACCAACAACCAAGAACCCGTCACATTTCCCACCACTAAGGATCCCCTTGGTAAATTCTCGCTCCGATTCAAATCCATCGCCGCCGGTACACCAGGAGAAGCAGAGTTGAGTGGCAGAGTCGGTGGTTGTACGATTTCCTCCTACTCTCCTTCCTTAACTGGCGTGGCAGCCAGCACCGGCGACATCCCTGCTACCGGCGATGCTTCCGCCGTTGCCAACCGACCCTCTCTTTCCAGCATCATCCTCTCGTTGGAAAGTAACGTGGCGAAGCAGCAAGCGTTGCAACACGTGATAAACGCGCTGCGTATAATACAAGCTCGAATCGCCGTGGTGACAGCGTTGCAAAGTCACTCGACCGTAAAGTCTTCGACATCGTCGACATCAACAGCAGCAGCAGCAGCAGCAGCAGCAACCACGGCAACAATAACAACGACGATGACGATGACGACGACGACCACGACGACGACGACGACGACGACGACGACCACGACGACGACCACGACGACAATAACCGGTGGTGGTGGTGGTATCGGTGTGAACGTCACCGGCGGTTCTTCCGTGGCTGAAATGTCGGCGCCGGACGGAGCAGTAGCTGGATCGAGCAGTGTCACCACCGCAGTTGGAGCTACAGGACATAGCCAGGTTTATCAGAACGTCGGGGATAGCGCGCAGGGTGGCGGAGAAGCGCCGGCTAACGTCGCTGAACTGGTTAATCTAGTGAGTAACAGCCCTCGTACCAGCCCTGAATCCGAGGAGTATCCGCTAGCTGCGGTCTTCCCCTCGATGTCCAGTTCGGCCAGTTTATCCTCGCGAGCCTCGAAAATGTCGACTAGCGCGATGAGCGTAATCGCAGCCACTCTGACGTCGAACGCGCAAATCGTCGGCGAGGGCGTGACCCCGGATCCGAACTTGGACGATTTCACGTCCACGTTGACCGAGGAGGACGCTAAAATGCTGGTCGACCTGTTGAAACTGGCTGTTGCCAATCGAATATGCAAAGGGGCCAAGGAGACGATATCCTCGGTACTGATCGCTCTCGCCAAGACCAATCATTCGATCCGCAGTATGCTACTCGAGCTTTGCATCACAGAGCTCGAGGACACGGTGGCCAACTCTAACAACAGGAGCAACGTGCCGCAGCCTGTCGTGCAGGAGAGCCCGCACCCTTACATAGACGGGACCACGTTGACCGGGCACGTGAAGATACCAGGCGCGGAGGCGCTGCGCGTCGCGTTCGATCGACGCTGCTCGACCGAGAGACGCCACGATCCTCTCACCATTATGGACGGAAACAATCGAACAATCGCCGTGAAATCCGGTCGGGAATGGAGCGAATGGGCCACCGAAGTTCGAGTCGCCGGCGACGAGTTCAGATGGAGATTCTCCTCGGACGGATCGGTGAACGGTTGGGGATGGCGATTCACGGTGTATCCGGTGCTGGCTAGCCTGGCGCCCCACGAACTCGTCTCGGACAGGGCAGTTCTCTCGCAGCCAGCCATCGCGCTCGCAGAATCTCTCCTCGACAACGCTCTCATCACCTTGGACAAGAATATCGCTACCCGGCTTGCCGCCACTTTGGCCCAGTGCAGCCAGTTGAGCGTCCTCTCCGCCCAGCAACGCATGTGGGCCTTGAAAAAGTTGCAGGTCGTTTACACCAGCGGGCCCGGTATACGTCCAGAGATAGCCCTCTCCTCGCTCCTCGGCTCTTTGCCGCAGGCGCTGCTCAAACAGTACGCCTACGAAGATCCACTGGTTCGCGGTGGAAAGCAATTGATGCACAGCGACTTCTTCAAAGTTCTCGTCGCGCTCGCCTGCGACCTCGAATTAGACGGAATGCAATGCTGCTCGGAGATCCACAAATGGTCCTGGTTCCGGAGGTACTGCCTTTCCGCTCGAGTCGCCAAGGCTCTCGTCAATCGGACGTCCCTTCCGAAACCGTTCTGTCTCGAGGTTACCAAACGAATCAACGAGATGATCACCGATGGAGAAACGAACAACAAGGACCACGAGAATCACGAGCTTTTCAAACAGGAGCACGACGAGCAACTGTTGCAGTGGTTGAACCGAAGGCCCGAGGATTGGACGTTATCGTGGGACGGTTCGGGCGCGATCTACGGCTGGGGTCACAACCATCGCGGTCAATTGGGCGGTCTCGAGGGGGCGAAGGTGAAGCTACCCGTTCTCTGCGAAGGCTTGTCCGCCCTTCGACCCGTTCAGCTCACCGGTGGAGAACAGACGCTGTTCGCCGTCACTGCCGACGGAAAGGTCTATGCAACCGGTAAATTTACTCCTCGTTCTTTCCTTCTTCTTGTTAAGTAAGAAACATACCACTCCACTACTACTCGCTACTCGCTATTCGGTACAGGTTACGGCGGGGTCGGACGTCTCGGAATCGGTGGAACGGATTCCGTTATGTTGCCCACTCTTCTGGAGTCCATTCAGCACGTATTTGTGAAAAAGGTCGCCGTTAATTCCGGCGGTAAACACTGTCTTGCCCTAAGTTCCGAAGGACACGTTTACTCTTGGGGCGAGGGTGACGACGGAAAACTAGGACACGGGAACAAATTGTCGTACGATCGACCGAAATTGATCGAAGAGTTGCTGGGTACCGAGATCGTTGATATAGCTTGCGGTGGTCATCATAGTGCCGCGATCACCAGCGCCGGATGGCTCTACACTTGGGGAAAAGGTAAACAGACTGTTTATCGTATATGCGTTAGGTTACGTTAGGTGTGGTGTGTGGTGTGTGTGTGTGTGTGTGTGTGCATTCATTCTGGACGAATAGAATTCCTAAATTGTTCGATCGCAGGTCGATACGGACGATTAGGTCACGGCGATAGCGAGGATCAATTGACACCGAAACTGGTTGAAGCTCTGCAAGATTACAAGGTAATCGACGTTGCTTGTGGGAGTGGAGACGCGCAAACGCTTTGCGTCACCGATGATGATAACGTTTGGAGTTGGGGCGACGGGGATTACGGAAAATTGGGCAGAGGAGGCAGCGATGGCTGCAAAGTTCCTATGAAGATTGAATCGCTCGTAGGCCTGGGTGTCGTTAAAGTCGAATGTGGCAGCCAATTCTCGGTAGCATTGACAAGATCAGGAGCGATATACACATGGTAAGTGTTCCGCCGCCGCCACCCGACAAAAATAGACCCCGTTCGTGTTCCCCGTTCTCCCAGGACGGTCGCGTCTCTGTGTGTGCGCACGGGGTACCCAGCGTGCCATAGAAGCGTTCTCCTCGGCTCGTATCTCGGGCTTCAATGGCGCCCTTCTTCTTCTTCTTCTTCTTCTCCTCCTCCTTCTTCTTCTCCTCCTCCTCCTCCTCCTTCTTCTTCTTCTTCTTCTTCTTCTTCTTCTTCTTCTTCTTCTTCTCCTCCTCCTCCTCCTTCTTCTTCTTCTTCTTCTTCTTCTTCTTCTTCTTCTTGTTGTTGTTCTTCTTCTTCTTCTTCTTTTCCTTCTTCTACCCCTGGGTTATTTTCACGTGCTGGGTTTGGGCTAGATTAAATTCTACACGTGCGTAGGGGTAAAGGAGATTACCATCGTTTGGGTCACGGCTCGGACGATCATGTACGAAGACCGCGTAAGGTAGCAGCACTTCAAGGGAAAAAAATTATCTCCATAGCAACAGGATCGTTACATTGCGTAGCCTGCTCCGATAAAGGAGAAGTTTTCACTTGGGGAGACAACGACGAAGGCCAGTTGGGTGATGGGACGACAAGCGCTCTTCAAAGACCAAGATTGGTTCACGCGTTACAGGGTAAAAAGATAACACGGGTCGCTTGCGGTAGCGCGCATACTTTAGCATGGAGTACCATGAAAGCTACACAGAGCAGAATGCCTGCCAGCACACCGATGGAGTACGACCTAGTGAAAGATCTTCCGTTTCCTGTGCTGCACAACCGATTGGTACTTCTACACCATTTCGCCGAACTACTTTGCCCCTGTTTGCCCATGTTCCCAATCAGCGGTGTTCCTATCAGTTTGAGTAAATTGGCTCCGATGTTGGTGTACAGCATCAAAGAAGCAACCTTCCGTAAAGTGGTACAGGCAACGATGGTAAGAGATCGGCAGCACGGGCCAGTGATCGAATTGAATCGGATACAGGTGAAACGAGCTAGAAGCAAGGGTGGATTAGCTGGACCGGATGGCATTAAATCCGTCTTCGGTCAAATGGTCTCCAAGATGTCTTTGCTGACGCAAGATGTTCTCTTCTTCCCCCATAGAGTCTGGAAAGTGAAATTCATCGGTGCGTTGAACCACATTTTTCTCTTTCTTCTCTCCATCTCTCTCTCTCTCTCTCTCTCATCTCTCTCTCTCTCTCTCTCTCTCCTCTCTTTCTCCATTCTCTCTTCTTTCTTCCTCTCTTCGAGATAATAGAGATACTATTATACTATTGGTAAGAACAAAGCATGATGCGAACAACGATCAGCAAAGAAAACAAAACGAGTGTAAAGTAAGAGAGAAGAGAGAAGAGAAAAATGATAAACACACCTAATCGAATCATCTCGCATTTTCTATTTTTCGAACAGGGGAAAGCGTGGATGATTGCGGCGGCGGATATAGCGAGAGTATAGCGGAAATGTGCGACGAATTGCAAAATGGTTCCTTACCGTTGCTTATTCCAACACCGAACGGTCGAGACGATAACGGCACTAACAGAGATTGTTTCCTTTTGAATCCGATGGCTGATTCGTCCGTGCACATGAGCATGTTTCGATTTCTCGGCATCTTAATGGGTATAGCGATAAGAACCGGTAGCCCGTTGAGTTTGAATTTGGCGGAACCCTTGTGGAAACAGCTCGCGGGCATGTCGTTAACGCCCGCGGATTTAACGGAAGTCGACAGGGATTATGTACCCGGGTTATTGTGTATCCGAGACATGGATTCCGATCAAAAAGTATTTCAAACTCTTGAAATGCCATTCTCCACCCCGTCCGCTGTTGGTCACGATGTACCCTTATCCATCAGGTATTATCATCGCCGTTTTATCATTCCTCTCTTTCCACGCAAACACCACACATGCTAGCAGCCCCTCTTATCAAAATTATCCTTTTCAGATATCGAAAAATCACGCCGGAAAATAAACACGAGTATGTCCAATTAGCATTGAATTATAGATTGCACGAGTTTGACGCACAGGTAGCTGCTGTTCGTGAAGGAATGTCGAAAGTTATCCCCGTACCTTTCCTCGCATTGTTCAGTGGACCGGAACTAGAGACAATGGTCTGCGGTAGTCCAGATATACCGCTTACTTTATTGAAATCCGTCGCAACTTACAAAGGTAAAGAACACGCGCGCGCGAACCATGCATTCGTTTGACCTACATATCTACATACATCTACATACATGTAATATACATGTTACATCATGCTTCTTAGGCATCGAAGCAACCGCTCCCCTAATTCAATGGTTCTGGGAGGTAATGGAAGAGTTTTCCAACCAAGAGAGGTCCTTATTTCTACGATTCGTTTGGGGTAGAACTCGCCTACCACGTACGATCGCTGACTTTCGTGGAAGAGATTTTGTTTTACAGGTGAAATATCCGTTCTATTGTTTACTCTTCACCCTACGTTATTTACTACACACCTTCTTACCTCTTACTTTCTTTTTGCTATCTATATTCAGGTGATGGACAGATACAATCCACCGGATCATTTTCTTCCTGAAAGTTACACGTGCTTTTTCCTCTTGAAAATGCCAAGGTACTCCTGTAAACTAGTACTACGTGAAAAATTAAAATACGCGATACATTTTTGTAAAAGTATCGACACCGACGAATATGCTAGGGTACAAGCTGCAACCAATTCGGACACCGAAGAAACGGACAGCCTTGCTAGCGAAGAGTATATATCGCTTTAATGAGATTGATTCTGTGCCACTTTCTTTTTTCCTTCCAGTTCCACTGAAATCTTTCCGTTTTCATCGATAAAATTTCTCATCAATCGGTTAAGTAATCCTTTTCAATTCACATATGCCAAAAGGAAGATGATTAATGTCACTTTTCTTCTTCAATTTATTTCGATCCAGTACAAGAAATCTTTCTTTTTTTTTCCTTATTATAAACAAAACTGTGTCATTTGGATTCATCAAGCTTAGAAAATGTCTCTCCCC